CCGGGGGACGGGCCAGGTCTCCGCGGCTCCCGGCCCGAGTTCACCTCCAGCCGGTCTCTGACGGCGGGGCGTCCCGGGGGGAGATGGCCAGTGACTAGGGCGGGGTGTCGTGACGGGCGTCCAGTCTGTAAACGCGGGCGCTCCCGTCTGGGGAGTGGGGTTAGGCGCTAACCCAGGGGCTACTTCTGGCTGAACTAGCTCGCCGGTGGCTCTGCGAATACTGACCTGAGCTTTTCTCCATCAAGGGGCCACTGAGGAAAAGCGTGGCACCAAGTGGGGACGCACGAGGCGCGGCCCGGGCCCTGCCCCCCGCGCGTGCGCGCCATGTGACGGCGGCCAGGCCGCCCCGCGCGCAGCCGCACAGGCCTCCTGACAGGGCAGCGGCCTCGGCCAACGGGGACAAAAACTAAACTCACTCGTTCTCTCACGCGCCACAAAAAAAAGGGGGGGGTTAACTTGGTAGGTGGTGAGGAAGGGAAAGCGAAAAACACCTCAAGCTGGCGGGCTTTCGCTTTGAAGTTTCCTGATTAGCACCTTTTACTTTCTCCAGAGCAGAAGGCACGCTAGAGAACAGCCGCCCCCAGAGCCAGATGGATCGGGAGGCCGTGGGGAGCGGCAGGCGCGGGCTGAGAGCCCCGGCTGGAAGCGCCGACCGTCCCCGCCCACCCCACCCCTAGACCAGCGGCTCGCGACACGGAGGATACAGCACCCGGCCGCGCACGCCCCCCGACGTCACACGCTCGCCCCGCCCAGCGCGAGACGCCTGACGTCACGGGGCGGAGCGCTCCCGAAGGCCGCTGCTGTTGACCCGCTGTTACCAGGCGCGCGCCCAGCCAATCAGCGCACGGCGCCGGCGCCGGCCGGCCTTTGAACTCGGCACGGCAACTTCCTGCTGTTTGGCGAGTACACAGTGCAATGCAGTATGTCTGTCGGCGCTGCGGCACAAAGGAACAGCCATTTTGTGACTAAGCTGGACCTGCACCAACATGCCAGGGGCTCGCAGAGCGGGTTCCGGCGCTCACTAACGAGCTGCTCCTTATGTGTGTACCGGGAAACCAAAAGGGGGGAGGGCGGCCCGGAGGTTTTGGTATTTCAAAATTTCAGTTCGTTCTATTTTGTCTTCTCAAAAATCCCGATTCTTAAGAATTATCAGCGTCATAAAATGGCTGCCACTTAAAAACTGCTTGTTCCCATCCACATGCAACTGTATTATGCCATTTCTAAGCGCCCCAGGCTTTTCCAGTAACTACAGACAGGCTGATTAAAAAGCGAGGTTTCGCCTACACCCGAGGTGATCAAGCTAAATCTGATTCAGGTAGACGATTTGGAGGTAAATGTGGTAAAACCGCTTTGGTTCTTTGGATTGCAACCAGCGCCCCAGCGCACACAACTCTGCACTTTCCACTCACCTCCCCTTAGATCCTGTGTTCTCTTTTTGATACTACTGTGGTTACTCCAAACTCCAAATTAAAGTGTGTGGTAACATTTGCATAGATGCCCATCATCAAAACTTGTTTTAAAATTTCACAAACGTTACAAGTATCATACTTCTAAATTGTATTTTTGAAAGTGAACTTTTTAATCCTCAAAAATGATATACAAAGTATAACATTGGACTTACACATTACTTAGCATTAACTTCAAAAGACAACAGGAATAACAAATTTATATAATCACTATTGAGTATTGTATTATTTCCCAAAACAGGCACTTAAGTAACAGGTTTAACCTGAAATTGCCCTCGATCCTGAGATCTTCAAGTAATTCTCACACCAAATTTAACTTGACCTGCAAATTCTTCCCTTCCTCTCCTGTGGCTCAGACTACCACCAGTGAGTTTTGTAGCGTTCCCCCACACTAGACTAAGTACCATAGAAACTAGGTGCTTACCAAAAAAAACACATCCAGATGGGTTAAGGAACCAAGAACTATTTACCCCACAGGGTCACCTGAATTTAAATTTGCTAAAAATAACACTAATCTACATAAGCACACATCCTTTGACTTTACAATGTATAAAGGAAGTGATGTCATAACTATATATTTGTATAGAAATGGAATTTGGGGTAATTTAAAACTCCACCTTTTCAAGAACTCAAGTATCTGTGGGTATTCCTCAGGTCCGTGTTTCAAAATAAATCTGAAAATGCACTTGGAGGTAGAGTGCATGCTTCCTGAACTTTAGACCCACTGCTAGCAGGCAAATGCATGACAACCTACAAGTTTCTCAGGTGAGAGTAATTATTTAAAAAGAAGGAATAGCAACACTGCTTGATTTCTTCTTTTTAAATTAGAAAGCAGAGTCTGATCGACGTTAACCACAAACCTTATATAAAAAAACCAAAACCCATGTGAGACATGCAAATCATATACTCATGGGGGTAACAAATTTAACTACTGCACCTTTAATAATTTGTGAAATACACCTGGGGACTCCCATTTACTCAAATAGCCATTACTTTTCAGAAAAGTCAGTTTAGGATTAGTAGAAAAGTTTTCTGAGCGAATCTAAACCTCGGTAATTACATAGACAATTCAGTTCAAAAAGAGAGAGTCCAAACTATTTGGCAATTCAATTTGCAAAAGTATTTGGAAACGTTATTTTAAAAGCCAAGGGTCAAAATGTTTTGATGTCTAATAAAAAAAATTATAATAACCAGACCATACTCAAGACTTTCAAATTCACTAACCCAGTAGTAAAATTATTTATGTAAAATTATAAAAAAGCAAAATTGTGGGAAATATCCTATAAACAATGACTTCCTTGTTAATTGCATCATTTAGGATGTATAACTGAAGAATTCAGACGAAAACACATCCAGTAATACAATTATAAATACTATTAAAAAGTAATATACAGATCATACAATGAAACATCTTAGAGGCTTTATTACTTTAGTCACTAAAAAGGTATTCCAAGGAACGTGAAAACCATGTTTTGAACAAACAGTACATTTGTGAGCTTCAGAAAATAAAGAATTCCAGGCGACTGTCGAAATAAATCAATATATTTAAAGCAGCTACAGCTAAAATGCGAAGAACAAAATACTGTATCTACCAACCAGAAAACAGTCTGAACACAAATACACAAATTTAAGCCTTAAAATAACTTAAATGTAAAATAAACCATTAAAATGATCAGTGAGAAAAACAAAAGTGCATCAAGTTTGCAGAATTTTTATGATCACAGGTTTGAGTTCATAAATGTAGAAACTAAAACCATCGAGTAAAGGTTTTGATAAATAATATCAAAATTACCTAAAATGTCAAGAGTATCAAAAGAAATACAGACTCATATAAAAATATAAACTGAGAGGTATCAGTCAAAGGGTCCTTTTTGCAATTTCATCTTAAAATGTACAATTTTTCATTCATAGAACTTTCTCAAATGTCTATTTACTATAATTTACTACCACAAGGCTCCTCTATGGCCTTCAGTTACAAGTTTGGGTACCTACATTCTTCAAAGAAAAAATCTGCCTTGTATGTAAAATGGTGCAATGCAGCAATGGCTAAGCCGACAAGGTCATTTTTCTACAGTACAAAAATCTGAAAACTGAAATTTACTGACAGAAAAACTGTAGTTTACAGGAAAAGCCCCCTTGAATAAAGGTACCTTACCTTTTGACTGATCTAAGAGGCCTTAAGTCACAACTCAACTTTCATAAATTGCTACCAAAAAATTAGGGTGTGGCATATTAGCAATCTCAAGGTCATGCTTTAAAAATCGAATCCAAATTAGTAAAATGCTTAAAATAAAACAGACAGCTATCCTTGTCTGTCACGATAAACAATGTAAGCTGAGGTTTCCCCCCCCAAAAAAAAAGAAAAAAGGAAGAAAGTTGATAGCTCATACCTCGAAGCATTGCTGTGTAGCGAACTGTCCTCCTCTTGGCTTTTGTCCTTATTTCTCATCATCTTTTAATTCTTAAATATTAAGGGGGAAGGGGGATCTGTGTTTGCTTTGAAGTCCTGTGCCCAGGTATTTACTGTCAAAAGTTGAAAGAAAGGTAAGGTCCCAGCTTCTACCAAAGGTTTTTATTATCAGGAACAAAGTCCTGACGATGGAACGATATTGTTATAATGCAACAGCGGTAAGCACCGAAAAACAAAATATTCCTAATTTTTCTTTAAAAAAAAAAAAAACCCCACACACAGGATAAACCGAACAGGGAGAATCATCACTATCAATAAGGAAAGTTTCTCAAAGTAACCCACTGGATACAAATAACAATCTCTGTATCTTATTGCGTCATCCAGGAATTTCTCGTATTTACAAAAAATAAAGCAAACTTAGACATGTAAATCTTTAAAATTATCACTAATGATCACGAACTTACCTGATCCATGTAGTAGGTCCAAAGCAAGAGTCCTATCTAGTAGTAGGAAAATATCAGATCCCAAATAATTAAAAATAAAAACAAGACTCTCCGTTAAAAAACGAAAAATAAATAAAATAAGCCTCAAATAGGTTAACTGGTCAAAAAAAATAAAGCAACAATTAATACTAAAACGGGTCCGGAAGAAAAAAAAACCTCATTAGCAGAGCGCACAAAAATGGAGGTGCGCCATGGCTTCTAAGCTGGAAAAACAACGACCTGGGCTCTCAGTACGGCTGCTTCTTTCCAACAAGGCACGAAAAGAAAGCTCCTAAAAGCTGCTTTTCTCCCTAAAAAGGGTTCCAATCGACCCCAGCCAGCCACTAGGAGAGGCAGGGGGCTGCGGGGGCCCCCTGAGGCTGCCTGAAAGTTAGGGAAAGTTGCGTAAAGTGAGGCAAAGGCAGAGAGCAGAGCGCGCTCTCTCTAAGGCACAGCCGCCATCTAGAGCCTCCTTCCCAGCTCTGAGAGCTCTGCCTTTGATTGACACTCTCTACATTTACCCCACAACTCAGGTGATGTACCATAGACCCACCCCTTCATCTCAACCAAAAAAAAAAAAAGATCCTTCAACCCAGGGAGCCTGAGGACCCCCACCCCCACACCTCCCTGCCCCTCCAGACCACCCCATCAGGGGAAGGGGGGAGGGTTTCTTAACCCCCTCTAGCTCAGGCACCCTTTTTAAGCCAGAGAGAAATGTAATTTGTTCCTTTTGTCTAAAGATCTGCTAAATATTTCAGTCCTTGAGCTAAAATAACTTCCTTTCTGGACAGGAAGTGGTGTTTTATCAAGCCATTTTGAAAAAGGGATAATTCTTAAAGAATATAAAGCTCAGCTTAACTACTAATCTTTTTTAAAAATTAACCCCCCATGGGTAAAATGGCTTACAAATGAAAGCAAAGCCTCAGTTTCATAAATTAAATTCCACTTTTGCCTTCTTTATTAAGCCTAAAAATTAACTACAGGCAAAGCTTATGGGGTAATTTTCCATTCCAATTAGAAGGGGTACAACTCAAGAGCGCCTCCCTAGTGTTGGGTTGCATGAGAGCAAAAATTAATTCAACTACTTTTTTAATTAAAGAACTTCCATTTTTCTCTGTTCTTGCACAAAATTCTTTAACCCATTATATAAACTTACAAACCTTACTCCCTTAAAATTCTCATAGCCACAATAAATTTTCTCCCCATACTGATTAAGACAAAAGTTCTTCAAATTCAACAGGATGAAACTACAGTCAACTATAAATAACAAACTCAAGAAACCAGCAAAACATATACCCCCAACTCTCCCCTTCTTTTTCAAATCAAATTGCAAGTGTATACCCGTCAACAAAGGCAAGTTGCTAATAACTCCTCTTATCCGCTGGTAAGTTATCCAAGTAATGTCACAAGGAAAATTCTCCTAAATATCAAAACCATGACCATCTATGAAAACACTGTATTACTAGTATCGAAAAATAAAACTATTGAACATTTTTCTTCCAATGGCACTCCAAGAAAACACACATCCAAAGAAAGTCAACTTTCCATACTCAACATCATGAACAATACTCTTCCTAAGAAAATCCATTTTAGATTTAAACCCTACCAAACCAGTAATGTTGCATATCTCAGAAAATGTAAAAATCCATCATCAAAATCCAGTCTCAATTCCTATTTTCTACAAATGATAAATCTGTACCAACCAAATCCAAATTCCATTTCTGGGCTACATAAACCAATCACCTGCAATCAATCAGTGAAGAATACCGTGCATGTACCGATCATGAATGTGTGTGCTAAAGTGATTTTGACATTAAACATAAACACATTATGACTATTTCTCTCACACATAAAACACCCCAAATCAAAGCTCAACTCTATCCCTTGTTCTCAATATAATGGGACATTATAACCTAATTCATTTGGTCTATCAAATTAAAGCTCACCTACTTATACCTTTGTAATAGTTAATAAAACTGGCATTGGTTGATTATAAAAGAATGAAACTTCAATATCCAACTGGAATTCAAGTATCTATGAGATGGTATGATTCATTTAGTCTAAATTCCACTTGTAGAAAGGACAGAAGTTTTTAATAAATCTATATCATATTTTCATAAAATGTATTAGACATCACCACCAAAACTGTCATTCATTTTATCAATGTCCCAAGAACATGTTCCAATAAATCAACACTTCTCCTAATATTAACTAGTAAGAGGCATCAGTATAGTCAAAATGTTCAAGTGAATAAATTACTGAAGAGTCCTTATTTATAACATTTTTTAAAAGGTAAAAGGGTACCTTTTACATCAACACAAAATCCTAAATTTTCAGGCAAATGGTATTTTGTTTGAAAAGTTCATTAAAATATCATGGCAAATTAAAGATGTTATTATTAACATTGATTGTTTTCCAAGTTATTTTACAAGATGTTTCAAGAAAACACAAAACAGCATTTTAACCAACCATCCCTCCCGTAAAGCACCAGTTTCCACAACTTAAAAGACAACAGACCAATTCTTAACCAACCAAGTAAAACATTTTCCAGCACACCATTTCCATTTGACCAACTTTATTCAGTACACTTTACTGCTAGGCAACTGTAAAGGTCAAAGTGTTATTTAAGGTGATAACCAAACATTTAATGAAATTTCAAGCTTTAAAAAAAAAAAGCCCAAACTGAGAAATTTTAAAGTGTTAGAAATTTTATTAAAGGTAACATATCAAAAGGTCATACAAAACTATTAAAAATGGCAGGCATACAAACTATCATCTGTGTTAATATACCATCTTCTCTGAAAATATACTCAGTAATACAAAAAGTCTTTAGAAAGTCAAATCCACTGTCCATTATGTTGGGACTACAGGTAAGAAACCTATATCTTCATTTCATGAACTCCATGTTAAAAGAACCCTGTCTTGGTTGCATATATCACAGCATTCGTGTATTAATCCATTTTCCTCAAGTGGACTGCCATCTTGATTTCTCAGTGGTAGGGTCCATTTGAGACTCTTCAAGCTGACTGGGTGCTTGATGAAAACATTAAAAGAAAAAATGCTGTTGGAATACCAATAATCTTATTCCTTCAGACAGAACATCCACCCACCTTGGAGATATTCTTACCATATACAAAGCTTTAATTTTGTAACAACTTAAAATATAAAGCCATATTAAAGTTTTGTATGTGCTATTTACAACTTCTCAATGAGAATCAAGGAAAGATGCACAGAAGTAACAAAGTTCTACTGACACAGATACATGTTACCATTGAAAAAAGCAGCACTGAAGAGTGAGTTTTTAAGTCAAATGTAATGTTTTTGAACTGTCTCTAGTAGAAGTAAAAACAAAAATTCAAATTCAAGATTCCTGGAAAGCAAAATTATAGCAACATTATGGATTCTAAATCTCAGTGCAGAAAACTTTCCAAGTTTCTTCAAATAAAACTAATTATGTTGAAGAATCTTTAGAGATAAAAAAAAAAAAACAAAACAGAAAAACCTAAGCCAGTAGATCAGAGCATAGTATTCCTGTCCAACAGGTGTTAATTAATTCTACTTGTAATTCAAATGGCCAAGATTCCACCCTCCTTAGATACATCAGATAATGCACAAATGTGCCACTTGGGGGATCAAAGTTATCTGGCCTGAAATGATTTGATGTTTGCCATAAAATGCTGTCATATCTCCAGTTAAATATATATAAAATACTTCCACTGTCAAAATATCAAATACGCCTTCAAGAAAACAAAGTCGTTATTTACATAAGTTGAACTAAAGGCACTGTAAAACCAGGAGTTTACCATTAAACAAATGATCCTGGTCATCATGATCAAACACAATTGCAAAAGTAAGTTATAACCCTGGTGTTTTACAGTTCTCACACTAAATTTGTTAGTCTACCTGACCTGACTAAGAAACTATGCATAAGGTCATTTTTTCTCATTAGGTAGTTTACTTGTCTCCTCATTAGGATTTGTCTACTATACAGAAATCTACACAATAAACTAGTTAAGCCCGAGACACCATCAGTTTTTTTTTAATTGCTGAAAATGAGTTACACATCAATAAAAAAAACCACCAAATACAAAATTCTTTCTTCTTAATATATTTTTGCCAATTCCTCTCAGCCTAAAATGGAAAGAAACTCATTCATTCTATATAACAATAAAATACTTTCCCCTTTGAAAAGTTCATTCCTTAAAATTAAGTGATATACTTCTGTAGACTTAAAAAAACTCTTAAGTATGGTTGTACATCTTGCAGAATGCTAAAAGAATTTCTCCCTAATCTCTATGCTGCAAGATCAAGCCCTACGTGATGTCAACACTGTTATGATGAACAATGATACTACTGTCTCAGTGGCATCCTTTCAATGACTATAGGTGCAACTAAATTTAGTATGTTGAACAACAAGCAGTGCTTTATCATCTTCTGCCACAGGACAAGGGGTAAACTTTATTCAGGATATTACATAAAATTTCTTCTTAAAACCATTATCTTTTAAAAACTCTAAGAAAACCTAATGACATGTATTAAAATTATTTCAAATTAATAAAATGCACTAATTTGTATATAAGAAACAAATTATAAAGTGCTAGCATACTGGTAATGCATCACATGTATTGTCATGTGCTTAGGATGGTTTAAAAAAAAAAAATAAAAGACTAAAGGAAGACAACTCTCCCAACATTAAGAGGCCATGATCCATTTGCACTCCTGCAAAGCCAATCAAGTGCTCAGTTAAGTATCCAAGTACCTAAAACATCAGTAAGTGATTTAGGATCAGTAAGTGATTAAGCCAAATTCTTACAAAAGCTCAATCTGTAAAATAAGCATTTGTGTTAAAGATAAAAAGCGCAGGCAATTCTGTAAGCCTGCATTTTCATGTTAACAAAATCCCCAATTCTTCATCTGTGAAATAAAAACAGTAGAACCTACCTCATGTGTAATAGTGAAATTTAGTACATTTTACAGCATTTCTATTACCTGGCATACAGAAAGACCTCAGTGAAGGTTAACTATTAGTTCAATATAACACAATAACCAAAGCATTGGGTTATTACCTACAAAGTAACCTTACTAAGTCAAAGTAATTTACATTCTAACAACTCTAAAGTATCCATGGGATTATAGGGTCACTTATTTAAAAACAAAAACACTTCAGTGCTTCAAGAGATAATTTATTCTTGCATGAAAACAAGAACAGTCAAATCAATTGAGTAGAGTTAGATGTGAAAGCTCTGTTGTGCTACTCCAATAACTTTCTGAATTACGGTGGATAGACAAGATGATGGTATGATGTAGAATTCCATCAACAGACTATATCATTTCCGTAGTTCACATACAAGCTTCCAAGTTCATACAAACATTAGAATTTTTCCATTATGATACTATTATATCTCCAAGGAAAATTCCTTGTTTTAAAATTAATCCCACAAGCAGACTTCTATGTCAAGAAGGTAATAACTCTCTTAATCCCCAAATACTGTATACCCAACAGGACATAAAATTGAGTAAAGAGTTCATCTTCTTAAACTCTAATTCAGTATATCTGTTTCAGAAACATTGGACATTATTTTATAATGTCCCAATAAATAATAAAGTTGTGAGCAGTGCAAGTCATACATCATTTGAATGGCATGTGTTAAGAGTCACCCCCTAATTTCACCACTAATTCCCAGCAAACTCTCACTTTCAACAAAAAAATGTTAAGAATACAAGGAAAATAATTTACCATTTTAATTTAAAAAACAGGTGGTTCTGATAATGCCATAATGTATTAGTATTAAATAATTATAATTCACTTGTTTAAGCTCAAGTGAAGAAATTCATAGGCACAAAATTAAAATATAAAGTGAAAATAGGTCCTTCCTATAATGAAAATTCTTGGTATTTATGGCTTCGTTTATTCTTCTTTGTATTGGCCTTTAAATATAAAACCATTTAATAACAACAGATTCACCAATGTTAATTTTCTTGAGGATTCAAGAATCCTCAAGAGAATTAACATGTCACAAGTTTGGGTCCACATAAGGTATACATAAAAACAACAAATGATAGTTTCAAAATGATCTGAAAAAGCCCAGAGAGCTGTTTATCACTAAAAGGTCATTTATGGTAACTAAAAAAAAAAAAAAAAAAAAGTCATTTTTATTTAAGATTTTAAAATCAAATCAAATCTTCCCCATTGCCCTCACTGGTTTAAAACTAACCTATATATGCTCATTAAAGAGACTGGATGTTGTTGTTTCAGGTCACTTTTAACGTTTGAGTCAAAGTTTTAGTTTTTAGCATATTTAAAAATTAATATTTAAAACATTAAAACCTATGTTTTAATAATAAATTTCACTGTTATCAACTAGATCCAGCAACAGTTGGTAAACATTAAACAGAAACTATATACGCTAAGTCAACAAACACTGAGCATTCACTATGTGCCAGGCAATCAATCTCTTGAAAATATGGTAAGACATGAAGTCAGTTATAAAGCATTAATAAAGTTTGCATCTGTGTTTATATGCTTACATCCCCCATAAAGAAAATTTCTTCCACAATTTTGTAGGCTAAGAAAGCCATCTATACAACAAAGTTCAGGTATACTTAGAAATAAAAGTTATCACCTAGCATCTAGATTCTCAAGCATGATTCAAAAATATTTTTTATGAAAACAGCTAGAATGTAATTTTCATACACAAAAAAGTGTCAATAAATAAAATCTTCAGAAAATCAAACTAAATTCATTTTAACAGTCTTACCACTTTTTCCTAAGTTGGGAATTTTAAAAAATGCTCAATATTAGTAGCAACCAAATCCTCTAAGAGCAAAACAAACCCCCCGTGTGAAAACAATTTTTTGATCAGCCTTCAAGTTAAGTTCAGAATTACTACATTGCAATCAATGGAAATGAATCGAAAAGGCTTCTGAGTTCTAAATAGGTAAAGTTGGCAAAAGGGATAAAGCAAGACAAAGATAGGCAAGCTTTCCGTACAAGTTAAGACAGTTAATGTAAGTTTTGTGGTCACTAGCTACAACTACTCTCAACTTGCAGTTGTGGTGAGAAAGCATAATGAAAGAGCATAAATGGGTTTTAACAAAACTTTATTTGAAGAAATAGGGGGACACATGCCAACAGTTCTAGATGTGTCAGAAACGTATTCAAATGAGGGCTTCTTGCATTTTAACTTTGCCTGAATTTAAGTTTAAAAATTATAAAGTTGATAAGAAAAAATTGATAATAAAAAATTTAAGTGAACTTCAGAAACATCTAACCATGTTAGCTTTTTCTGTGTGTGCTGCTTAATTCCCTCTACAACTCTATAATTCTGATTCAATTACTCAAAATTTCCAGTCATATTTAAAATTAAGAAACAGATTAAACATGTAAATTGAGTAAAACTTACTAAATGCTTCCACCAACATCTATTACGTTGTATAGACCCTTTAGAGAATTCAGTCTCAGGATTCATATTTCTGCAAAAAGCAAAAATAATACAATTTTATTCACTTGAAAAAGACAAAAATCAACTACTAAAATGCCATGTTTTGTTTGGGAACATCTTATAAAAATCATGAGCTAGAAGACCGAGAGATATACACGTAAGGAATTATACAGCCCAAGTAGGGGAAGATAAAAGCAAAACATCAAGTTTAATCTTAAATCTGACTTTATAGTAAAGTCCTTCCTATATGTAAGTCCCCAAGAACTCCAAGAGAGTAGGTAAAATCTTGGACTCCCAAGGTCAACTTAAATAAACAGCAAGAACTGAGAATTACTTAAATGGACAGCCAGAACTGAGAATTAACAAAACCAGTATAATAACTCATAACATATATTTATCTATATCTTTCACCTACTTTCTAGACTTCTACACCTTCCAATACCCATCTGCAAACCCATGTTTCTCACTCTTTAATATTACTGCATTATTTCATGTTATCATGTACCTTAATCATGCTCCTAAGATAAAATATTACAAAGGAAACCTTAGGTAAATTTCAAACTATATTTACTAATTATATTGACTTACTCTACACTAACCCTTTTTAAAACACACACTTGGTTTAAAAAAAAAAAAGATTTTTACTAGTTAGAGTGAAGCACCTAATAAGCCCAACATGGAAGGAAGTGTTTCCCTTATGGCAAATAATTTTCTGAGTACAGGTAACTCCTACTCTAATTACAGTTTGTAGAGCTAACAAAAGGAATGTTTTAAAAATTTATTATCAGAGTAGCAATTTAAGGACTTAGAAACTAAGTTAAGCAAACAATTTTTCAAAGAGTAGGTTTCTGTTTTTTCTAATTATAAAGCAAATCTAATTATCAAATATGAATTCCTTTCTTTTTACTAACCACACTCACACTCAAGATATATACATCAAAGATCTACTTCAAAATTCCTTCTGAGAAGAAAATGCTCCCAAGTTAACAAATGAAGACAATTTAATTAAAACATTACTTATTTCTCTGCTTCCAATCTGACCTTATAAAGGTCAGAGGACAAACCATTAAATCAATCAAACAAAATAAACTGATTAAGCCACTAAAGGGAAAGGTGCAACTGATTTCAAAATATTGAAACATTTGAGTTTCAATGACTGTTTCATTCAAGTCTGATAACATGGCTATTAAAAAGCTATCGGGAGACATTCCTCCAACATGAGAAAAGGATTTGGGTCTCACTTGGCATCATCATCAAAATTACTGACATGTGATCTACCATACCAATTGCATTCTCAAAAATCAAATTAGTATCTGTTTTCCTTTGAACAGGGGGAAGCAGAGGTACGTTTAAGCAGACTACAAAAGGTGATCATTTAGCTCCTAATTCCTACCTATCACTAATATCAAGCAGTACTACGGACTGATTTTATTTGGAAATGACATCTGTAAAGTAAAAACTGCTTTGACTGCAGGCCCTTCTATAGCAAAAAGCAAAGCTAGCTTTTGTCAAAACTTTCATCGTTAGGCCATTCGTGCCTTTCTTCAAATATGGTTCTGTCACATCTTGAAGATGTTAAAACAATTTTTCCATCCAAGAGTAAAAGCGGAGGACAATACAGAAATCTTTCACAAAAAGAAGGTAGTGATACTTAACTAATTCATAAGAAAATTGCCAACTTACAAACTACTAAAGTTAAGCAAAATTCCTACCCTGATAATCTAAATTAAAGCAAATGATTACAATATACCAGACACATGAAGTTTTGACTGTTTGAGAAACAACCAATTTCAAATTAAATGGTTTTTTCAAAAGCCAAAGGTTTTCCAAAACAGGAGTATGTAGCTTTACATAGGGTATACTGCAAAGCCTTACCAATTATACTTTAACATTATGTAAACAACCAAGTCTGGCAGTATTGATTTACAAAGTTCAGGCTATCAATTAATTTAAATAATGGTTAATTACATTCAGAAATACACAAGTCAATTTGAAAATTAAGCATATAGCAGCCATTCAATCTAGAAAAGGAAGACAACTGACAGAATGAGGGTATCTGAAGTATGAAAAACGTTGAGGAAAGTAACTAGGCCATGTCAGGTAGGTAAACTGTAACTCTTGTTTATATTCTCGATGGTGAGCAACAAGTGTTGAATGACATTAAACTTTAGACAAATTACAAATTGTTTCATGGCAGCATTCTAAATCTTAAATTGTTTAAGGGCAGGTTGACACCTTAACTATGTTTAAAATCAACTTTCCAATGTGTTATGTTTATAGTGTTTATGAATATCCTGGAATGCCTAAAAATAATAAAGTCAGGCATACTATTCCCCAGGTCATATGTTACTCGAGCAATTTCACAATATGTGTGATTCACAATGAAAAATTACAAAAATTATTTTCCAGTTTGCAGAAGAAAATTAGACACTATTACTTACAAGTTAAAGGGTAGCTCAGAGAGACTAGAAATTCCAATACTTTATACAAATTAGGAGATAAGGTCTATAGTGAGTATGATGTCAAGATTACAGAGCCATTTACATTAGAAGCTTGGTCTTCCAATTGCTGAATCAGTTACTATTTTCCACTCTACCACACACATCTCATTTAAAGCAGCATTAAAGCACAACACGGAGATGTCCTCAGATTATTAACTTCCCCACCTTTATATCCCTCAACAAAGAATAAAATTTCAGAGGGAAAATAGTAATCTAAACAGCTTCCCAGTTCAAATTTTTAAATAAGGAAACAATTTAAGTAACAGTAAACTTAAAAACAAAAATTACATTCAAAATTACCACTTCACATAACCTATGCCTTAGTATTAACATCATAGTTGATGAAAAACTTGCGATTAACTTTGAGTATGACTTCTTTATGTGGAACTTCATGTAATTTTTAATAACCATAACAAATGCAATCCAACCCTTTCACCAATCTGATCACCTAATTCTTGTGCTTCAAAAACTATTTTGCATGCTAAGTAAAATGAAAACAACTATTTAAATACTTACCACTTATTTTTTTTATTCTAAAGCAGAAAGTAATAGTAAACTAATAACTTTTCTTATGAAAAATAGCCATTTAAAATGATCGTATCGTTTCTACTTTTGTATTTGCCATTATCTGCTACTTTTGTCCATCAAAAACACTGCCCATTATACAGGCTTGGGACAATCAGCAAATGTTAAAACAGTGAGAACATAAGCACCATCATGAAGGCCTAAATACATGTAGACCTTTTAGATTTTATTTTTCTTATCTTTTATCCTGTAAAGTGATATTCCGTTAGATTGGGAAAATAACTTACAAGTTACTATATCATTTTCTTATTTTTTAATTAATGATACTCAAAATGATAAACCTTTAACATTCTAGCCTAGGTTTTATAAGATGTCAGAAATTTGAGCTTATTCATCTTTTATTTTCAGGCCAAATTACACCTCTAGTAGGCCACTATAAAGGTAATGCTGATTTATACTTCAAACATACATTACATTTCACATATATTTGTTCCTTAAGAGGCCCAATTCTTTGTTTCAAGTGCCCACTCACGTCTGAATGCCAATCCAATATGCTATTAAGACATTCAGAAAACCACCGCATTCATGTTCAAGATACACTTTTCTGTGTATCTTTAAAACATCAGTTAAACCTCTACTATTTAATTCTCTTTTACAAGCTATGATGAACACAATCTGATCAACTTGCAAGAGGACTGAAAAGGGAAAATGAAATTATAGCAAAGGCAATAAAAATCACTTATAACCTATCTGAATCAGTAGGATACGCCAGCACCAACGGGAAAGATTTTATTTTCTACATAAATTTCAAGGACAAAAGTATACCTGCCCTTATTTTAATTGGTTATTTGCCTATCCTTAAAAAATCTTAAGATATCTATTATTGTATGTATTTCCTGTTATCATTAATACCGGCTTGACTCAGTGTTAACTTACAAAAAATTATTCCCTGAAAATTAACAGTGGCCATAGTTTCTCATATATATATATATATATATATATATATATATCAAATTTTAATATGTCCAGGTATCGACGAATGTTGAAAGTTATTTCCTCCTTTAACGCTTTAAATTAACAACTTGAAACTCTTAATAAGCAAAATTTTAAAAACCAATAAAAATAACTAGGCTATGGAACATGCTTTTGTTTTTGAAACTAAGAATCACAACATCAGTAAGCATAAAATTCTAGGCAGTTTCTAAAATGTGATCTGTTTCATAAGAGCTAAAGAATGTACATTTCAGATTGCAAAAACTAGTAATTGTGATTGACTCAAAACTGATTTAACCAATTTTACTCTAAGTACTGAAATGTCTTACTGCTCAGATATAAATTTCATGTATCAACTGCTTTAGTATTAATATAAAAATCCTTTGATGTAAGGTAAACAAATTCAGTGGACTTTCCTCTGCCATTTTCAAGGGAGAAAACAGTTCACTAACAAACTAATGACATTCAGAAATTTTCCTATGCAAATACTGGATTAAAATATTTACTTACTTGCTATATTAAAAAAGACATTCGCAAAGATTTCCTTTATCCTCAGAAAAGCACTCCAGTCTCAGTCTTCAAAATGGCACCTATTTTTGAAGAGGGGGAAAAATATTCTAAACAATTTATTGATGGAAAAAAAAATACCAAGTAGGATTTAATGTTTTTAAGCAAAAGAAACAAAAATTAAATTATATGTTCACAAAACCTGATTTTTAAAATGTTTTTCCTTTACAATCCAATCTGTTAATATGAACAGTTTTACAATCTGTTAGTATGAATAGTTACCAGTTAAAATTTCCCAGAAAGCTTATTTCTTTAAATACTTAAAAGATTAAAACAGCTTGCACAGCATATTAGTGAGCTAAAAAGAATAAGTGTAGCTATAGCTATGCTTCATGGTTTTCCTCAAACTGTTATCAGTCCCAAAAATTAAACAAAGGCTTAAAAGTCTTTCAACATTTAAAGTATTCAAAAACATATTAAGTTCAATTGGTATGCACATATACCTTTCCTTCCATGACAAGACTTGAAAGGGTAAGATATTTTTTCAGATATTTCCACATTTACTTATAGTCACTACTTAACTCGAAATAGAAATTACCAATGAAAATTAAAACCTAATAAGCTTATGAAAACAATAAAAATTTACCCAGTCTTACCTCAAATTAAAGAGCTGTATTTGTTCAGGGCCATCACCAATCAAATTTACTGTGATCTCGTAAATTACCTTTAAAAGAAAAAATGAATATGACATCAATGTTTACAGTTTGGGGGCTTATTTGGGTTGTTTTGTTTTTTGTTTTCTTTTTTTTTTTTTTTAAGCATTTCTTGGCCAAAATTTCTGTGAAAAGAAATAGTGAGACTATATTCCAAAGACTGGAACTAGGGGCAAATATTAAGAGACAACTCACTGGCATTCTACCTACACATTTGGTTTGCAGCAATTTTTTTTAATCTCAAAATCTAGTAGTCCTCCTCCTCCTCTTTTGGATATGTGGAAAAACAGGAATTAAAGCATTAAGATTAAAGAGAAACAAAATCCACATCTCAAAGCAGATTATGACCTTTTTTTTCTTATTTTTGTCCTGATAGCAAGCAATACACAAAAACAAAGGAAAAGTTTGCCATTTTTTAAGACTCGAATCATTTTTAAATTTCCTTTACCATCTGTATTAAAAATTAACTCCTCCAGGAGAAATTAGTAAAGTTAAAATGGCCACTGGTTAAATTTTTAAACCACAAGTTATTTGATCTCACCAAATGGGATATTAGCCCTGCCTTTAAGCAAGCCTAAAATATGTAATATCTGTGACCTTTATTCAATTTCAAACCAGGATCCTGAACATTTTCAGTCTCTCCCTTCCCCCGATATCTCACGTAAAATGATATGAGGTTAAACTGGTAGCAGTTATTTTGCATTTTATTGTCCAAAAAGGATTCTCAGAAACTAAGATTCTAAATATCCATTTAAAACCATTTGCAGGATTCAAGATTTTCAAAACTGTTGATATGAAAAACAAAAATCGATATTTAAAAGAGCAGATTCTGTTAAAACAAGATATGCGCAATTGATGTAACATGTAGCCCTAGCAAATGCTATTTGGAAAATAGAACAATTTCACTGACGAAAAACTCCTCGGAAATATGGTCGATTAAACCGGTACCTTCGATCTTATAAGTACTACGTACATCTATCTGCCCGACACTGTGTGTGCGTAGAGCTGCACCTTTCCAACACAAGCGCTACCGCAGAATGAAGACATATATTCTGAAATACACAAAGGTTGTGCATTTCTGGTTTGTTCTCCAAAAGGCTGAACTTTAAATTCCCTCTCAAGCCATTTTTTAAAATTCTGACTTGACAGAAAAGACTGCAAAATTTCTCGAAACCACTTTATACTATTAAAAGTGTTCCGTTTTAGGCAAATCTAGATATTTAATGCATGCAACAAATATGGCTCCTCTTCATCGCCCAAGACCGAGAGCAAGCCCTACTTAATATTTACACTGCGAGAAAGTAACTTCACAAAGAGACCTGGTGACCGAATAATCCTTTGTAAAAGTTTGGTCGGCGGTGGCTTATGATAATACATTTTTTTAAATAATAAAAGGATGAGCTGATAACTTTTAATAAGTCTAGGAAGCCACCCCAGCAGCACGATCTAACATTCAGGTGTAGTGAAGTTAAAGATAACGGCTCCCGACGACCTTTCGAAAAGTACCAAACAACATCACTGAATCATTGTGCACACACCGGGATGCCACATACATAACCTTGGAGTAAGGACTCGGAGACACGAATTCTCTGAATCAACCGTTCCCGTCTAGCACGCTCATTAAAAGCCGTTTCCATCAAACAGCAGCGACGATGGAGTTAACTTGTCTGGGTCATTTTTCAGCCCCCAGCAAGACTCCAGCAAGTCGCATTTCCCAGAGACCATAAAGGTCCCCAGCAGCCAAGCCCCTCCGCGTCGGGCACGCAGCAGCCGTTCTCAAAATCGGCTCGCAAAGAGTTAAAAGCCAACACCCAGAAGAAGGGGCGAAAAACAAGTTTTATTTCTGCTTAGACGCAGTAAGGCTTCCATTGTTCTTTTAAATTCAACCCCGAGGAGGGGCTCCCACCTCCCCAGAAAGGGGTTCAGAGCTCCCCCGTGGCCGAGCCCCGAGGGCTGCTTTTCACCCGAAATAGCAGAATCACTCACCAGCACCGACTGCGCCCTGGCTCGCGCGGCCCCCTCCGGGCTGCGCGGGCGGACGTCGCCGCCCCCAGCGC